TAAAATTTTATTTTTAATGAAATGCCACAGAAGAGACAAAAGGAACCGTTAATGATGGTTTTGATTCTTGATCAAAGAGGTGGGCACCCTTAAACATTTATTTTATTTTTATATAAATGAATAACACAGATTTAAAAATTTTAATTGATGATTTAATATTTAATCAAAATTTTCTTAGTTATTGTGATTTAAAAGCATATCTCCAAGACTATGATAACAATATAACGGATGATGATATGGAATATTATTATTCATATTATGATAATGAATTTTTGAAATATCATGATAGAATAATTTCTAAAATTAAAGACAAAATTAAAAATAATGAATATACAAAGGGAAAAACTAAATCACAACTTAAACAATTGAAAGATTTCAAAAATAAAGTATTAACAGAAGAAGATATTGATGAATTATATAATTTATATAATCCTGAGCCGCAAAAACAAAAGGAACAAAACGCCCAGGTCCTTCAGACCATAAATGATGCACAAGCTTTAATTTATGATTCATTAGTTAAACCATATTCAGCCCGGCTTTTAAATGAAGATCAACTTTTGGAATTCATCCTTCAACATAAACTCGAAGCGGGAAAGTATATCAAACCTTTATATACAGCATATTTAAAACAAATGAATAGAATACATCATCCAAAATTCTGTTTACCAATTGCTGCAGTGATTGAATTTAAGTAACATTCAGAATATGGAATTTTCATTAATTTTTCCTTAGATAGAGCATTTCTATTATCACTCAATGCTTCATTAATCATATCATCTATGTATGTATTATATACTCCTGCTAATTCTTCATAAGGGGTGGATGAATTTAAATCCATTTAATCAAAAATAAATTTATAATTTTAAACATTTCTATTCATCAATATTTCATCATATGAACTTCTATACTGTGGTGGTGTACCTGTTGGATGATATTTCAAACCTTCGTCCGGTGTCCATGTCCAATATGTAGTCCTAGTAAACCAAACCTGAGGAGGATTTGTCACCTTTGAACAGTAAGTGTCATTTTCACCCTGAATGATTGGATAAGCTTTCACTTGTACTGTAACTTGTGAGTTGAAAGTTTCTAATCCATCAAAGAATATACCCGCTCCATCACGTTGAACTGGAATAGTGCATAAGAATGAAGTTTTGGTCTTGGTTTTCCATGTTCTAGCTAAGGCGTGCCATCATCTGCATTCAGTGGTCTAGTTAATGAGTCCTCGTATTCTTTCCGTGCATTCATTCACTCCATCTAAATCAGAAGCTTGAAGCATACGTGTAAAGAATATGTCACCCACTGTGGTCATCGCTTGATCGGGGAAGTTTCTGGAATCTATAGTGACCTGAAGACCTCGAAGCATTGGATTTTCTAAAACTGTTCTTTGCATTGCATTCTTCGGAAATGTTAACACAACATCTGTAACATTATGAAGAGCGTATGAGAAATCTGAGCTAATACCTTCAGGAGTGATGCAACCTCCATTTAGTGAACGAACGTCAATATGTTGAGCTGGAATCATGAATGGATCTTCCTTACTGAATAAACGTGGTATTGCTTTAACTGATTCTTCAATTAAACTGTATCCTGGTGTAATGCATTTATCCTCTAAAACTTCCATCTTTGTGCATGAAATAATAACGTCTTCAACTGTTGCCTCAGCAGATGTAGCGGCTAAGCTTGTAATTAATTTGGCAGGAAGTCCGATTTGTTGGAATTTGCGATCATATTTATAAACATGATTCATAATCTTTTCATAATTTTCATCAGTTATCTTTTCATAAACGTAATTTTGTAAATCAGCAACTCTTAACGGGTCAACCTGACAAAATACTAAAGTATCCCTGAAAACATAATATTTAAGAATGATATCACCAAATGATTTAGGATAATCATCGAACGCCTGAAATGCTAACAAATCATTTACCGGAATAATCATATCAAAAGTGACATCAACTTCTTCATTTGCTTTCTTGAAAACTTCTGAAGGGTCAATATATTTACCACATACTGAGTTATCATATTTTTGAACATTATTATATAACGAATGAACAAACTTTTTAACTTTCCTTTCTGATTTTGGTTTATATGTTGCAAATGCGAAAGATTCACGGGCGCAATCCATCTGAAGATAACCGGCATCACCTCTTTCGGTTTCTACTCCTAATTGTTTAAAGCTTTGATTTGATGATTTGTAACCAACGAATAAACGCATGCATTTAAAAGCGGCATCACATGTGAAAGGTTTATTTGAAACTAGAGTTGCTTTAACTTTGCGTTTAATATATGTGTCACCTAATTGGTTCACATCATGAGCCGGATTTGTAATTCTTAAATGAGTTTGTTTATCATCAAAATATGGAGCATCAGAGTCATAGCATGAACTTTCAAGTTCTCTATAATATCTTCTACCATCATTCTTTGCGAATATTTCATTTATCTTTTCGAATGAATGAAACACATTTCCATTAATCGGTTTAGTGTTTGGCACCAAATAGTTAGTCGTCATTTATTATTAAATAAAAAATCAAAATTAAAAGATGAAAATGAATTTTTAATTTTAATGAAATAATCAACTATGGCTGCAGGATTCTTTAAGAAACTGTGGGATAAAGTAAAAAGAGGAGCGCATAAAGTTTGGGAAACATTGAAGAAGGGAGCAAATTGGATATTTAAGAATAAAGAAGCAATTAGTGACGTTGCTGAATCAATAACACCAAAAGCTGCCCCAATAAGAGAAATATTAAATAAAGGAGAAAAAGTTTATCAAAGACTTCAACCGATACTAAGATAAAAATAATATTTATTTATTTATTTTTCCACTATCTACCTCCTATTTTATTAAGTATTCCTTCAGCTATTCCACCAATTGCGTTACCTGCTTGTGCTCCCATCGCCGGATTACCTGCTTTAGTACCTAATACTCCACCTATGATAGTTCCTGCCGTTTTCGCTACTGGTGCCAAAAAGTTTGCAATGGGTTTAATAATCTTTTTATGAACCCAACCCGCAGCTTTCTTAATTCCATCCCATAATTTTTTAAAGAATCCTGCCGCCATTTCTGATTTAATATTAATTAAAAATATATATTTCATCACTTATATTCTAATTTTTATTTAATGATAAATGAAACCAATTTTAAAAATAAATGAAACAGAGGAGGGAGAAATAAATGAAAGTGAAAATGTTCAACAAAAAATAAACGTTGTTAAACCAATTACTGAAATAAAAATTTTTTCATCTGTTGAAGAATTTAATGACTATTATGCCAATAATAAAAAATTATTTGAAGAATTGACAACATGTAAATTGAATAAAATGTTTAAAGTTGATGGATTCAAAATTTCAAAAATAAAGGGGGTGGTTAGTTTGAAATCTATTCCTCAATCAAGAATCACCTCATTAATGAAAATTGATGATTTAACAAAAAGAATAGAAGAGATTGAAGAAAGAATGAATCAAATAATTGATTTCATAAATTCAAATAATCATTAGTTTCTTAAAGTTCTATGTTGAACTCATCAAATTTCTTTTTCTCGTTTATGAGGTCTTTGATTATGGTAGTGAATCTTTTATTCATGAAAATAATTATTTCTAATTTCTTTTTAAAGTTTATTTTTTATTTCATTATGGTAGTGAATCTTTTATTCATGAAAATAATTATTTCTAATTTCTTTTACTCGTTTATGAGGTCTTTGATTATGACTTTATTGATTCCATTCAGGATTTAAACAATGTTTAATTAATCGCGGAATATCTGACATCATCTATATATAGCTTCTTTTATAAAAGATAAAAAATAAATTATTTTAAAATTAATGTTAATTTTTTAATGCGTTTATTTCATTATGTTTGGGCTGAGTGTAAATGTCTTACAATTTTGAAAATTTTTTAAATCTTGATTTATTCAAAAACGTAAGAATAAAAACCGTAAGAATCATACATTTTTTACTTCATATGTTAAAAAAAATGATACAAAATCACTCGATATTGCATGAATTCTTACGTTTACAAAAAAAGTCACACAACCCTCCCTATCATACTACTTTGCTTTGACTAAATTTTTGATAATCTGTATGATTAAAGCTTCTTATGTATAGACTGTGATAGATTTAATCAATCTGTAATTTCATCAAAAATATTGCATGAATTTTGCTATAATCTAATTTAGATTTTAACTTAGATAAAAAAGAGCAAACATTATGTATAGAGATATTCATAACTAAACTGTTGTAGTTACTATTATGAACAACAAAGTTAAGTTACCTTTATTGAGAGTAGATTCACTTCACTTTGAAAATTAACTCCACTCAAGGGTGTCAGTGGATCTACTCCGCTAATTGGTGCATCGGATATTGATAACCTTAAAGCTGTTAAATATCTTATTTGTATTGGAGCTAATATAGAAGCAAAAAATGATAATGGAGAAACTTCGCTCCATTAAGCATCATTTTTTGGCAATCTCGAAGTTGTTAAATATCTTGTTTCTGTCGGAGCTAATATAGAAGCAAAAGATGTTCATGGGTGCACTCCTTTCCTTTATTGAAAAGTTTAAATATCTTATCTCTGCTGGAGCTGAATTTGATAAGATAAATACGGAAAAACCGTTCTACAATTAACAGTTCATAAGATTCAAAATTATATACTTTCACTTGCACAAAATTCATCAGAGCATGCTTGAGAAATCATGTTTTGCAATTCAAAAACACTTTATGTATGAATTGACACTTTACATGTTCCCCAGAGTTCGAAAAATATTTGTTCGAGTCCCCAAATGTCCACCAAGCGACATCCTTAAAATGAGTTTATTGGGATCACTTAGTGAACTGTACTTGTCTTGAAAATACTCAAAATTTTGAGAATGTTTATTTCTCAAAGATTGGCAATTTTTTTATCTTTAAAAATGTCACTTTTTTATCAAAAAAATGTTTTTCTATCTTTTCCTCATTATATTAGTAATCCTCTTATATATTATTGCAAGGAGGCTTTATTACTATGTGATGAAGAAGATATTAGTTAACTTTTTTGATGCAGATGTTTCATTTTCTGCTGGTTACAATTTCTTCTCCATTTCCAATCTGAAAATCGAAAATAACATTGGTAGGCTTACGTGCAAGTACGTTTCAGTTAATTTGTTCGACAGAAAACTTTTGATTTTTTCACAAGTTGAAACTAACTTTGATTACGAAGTTATCCGGAAAGCATTTAACATTATTCAACGCGCAATAATACATAAAGACTCTGGATTATCATTTTTCTACAATTGGAGTGTTATTATCAACGGAATGACGATTAAAGGCGAACGCAAGCTTGAAATTACTAAAGCAGCATTCAAACTCTCTTCTTCTAAATTTGATTTCCAAATCGAGAACTTTAATTACGAAGATGAACAGCTTTTCCTCAAAATTCCAAAATTATCTCAAGCATTCCATTATTTTGGCCATATCCCAAAGCTAATATCATTCTTACGTCCCAAAGTTGAAGTAATAATCAACAAAAATGTAATTCAAGCAAAAGTTTATTCATTAAAAGCTTATTCACAGAAATCTCCCATTTGGAGGTTCACATCCGACGAATGCGATGCAGAGATTACATTTCGACAAAAAGAAACCATCGGTACCTCAACAAATACCTCAATAACTTTTTCATTTCCTCTTAATTTGAATATTTCTCTTGTTGAGAGTAATTTTATTATGACAATCCCTTGTCTTCTTGGAACATCAGGTAACAGCATCCTCGACATGAAGATTACTGCTTTAGAATTGAAAACAGGAATAATAAGTGCGAAAACCTTTGATGTTACGATACATACATCGATATTACCAATGATAATTCATCCAATACTATTCGACAACACTAAATTTTCGTTCGAAGACTTTAATGTCAAAGCAGAATTAAATCAAAATTCATTTTTCAAGATAATTTCGAAGAATTATGAACAATGCCAGCGTACATTCAAGTCAACTAAGACTCAGCTTGAGTTTGATCTATCTCATAGCCGCCCATTGTTTGTAGAAGTTGAAGATATAAATTTAGATATGCACCAGCTTATTCAAATGAACACTTTCCATCTCAAATACGCATTCTTGACCGATATAATGGAAGTTCTCAAGCTTATTAATAACTCAAGTTACTTTTCTAATAATTATAAAATTATTACTAAAAAAGGAACAGTTGAGAACGTTTCCATATTGAATGCCACCTCTATCTCAGACGCTACGATCAACGTAAACAAGAAACCGAACGCTACAATCGAGAGATCTCGAAATATGGTCGACTCCATCTTCCCAGGGGCCATCAATATCAGCCACGTGGTCGGTGTTCAGGAATATTCTATAACATGTAAAGCCGGTGAATTGGTGTCTTCTACGATAGATGTGGCCGATTTCGAAATTGAGGGTATGGTCTATCTTTTGTTGCTGGCAGGAGAGATCAAACAACTTGAATTTTGCGGTATGATTGATATTATCGCAAAATCTGCCCACGTTTCCATGAAAAATGTCCAAATTCCTCCACTTTGGATGATTTCAATGGACATTGGAGAGGCAGGAATACTCCTAGGCAAAGAAGCAATCACGGCTTATAACGTAATCGGCGATTTAACTGATTTTAAGTTCGAAACAATTTCGACATCTCAAGGAATTGTTGGAAAAATCGGAAATGTCATACCTCAGAAGGATGGCCGTGCAAAGATATCTTTGGAAGAACTGAATAATAACGGTTTTGTACTAAAAGTCGTGAATTTATTCTTCCAAAACCAAAAGCCAACGAAAATATCGGCAGAAGAGGTCACATTCGGTAATTGTGTAGCAAGAGATTATAGATACGACTTCATTCGTAATGAAATGAAGTCTTCTTTCGTTAATCTTGATTTAGATCACATGAAAGTCGATTTCGCATCATCATACTTCTCTTACGCATCCATTGACCAACTGAATGTTGGTAATTACTCGTTAACCAGCGTAGAGATCGTTGTTTCGACCAGTTTCAAAATTAATGCGAAATCTTTTTCATGTATCAGCCGTCCTGGACTTACAATCAACGCAGAAAACATTGGTGTTGATGTAACAGACGTAATTGATATAACATCTACTAATGTTGATGTTCAATTATGGATGAAATTCGATTTTCATCAAATCTTTAATTTAATTCAAGGAAAATCCATTTGTTTGAACTTGGATAAGATCTCAATCAAGTTTACAGACGGAAGAATGCCTGTTAACCTTGCTGAATTGAAGAGATTCATCTTTTCTTTCACAAATACGAAATCTGAAAATAATTTCACAACTTGTGGAAGATTTACAGCAGAATCATTTGATTTTTATGATATAATAGTCGAACCAAGACTCATTATGTACATTTCTCCTTGCGAAAACTGTATTTCTTTCTTAATTTCGATATCCAACTACAAAACAATCGAAAAATGTTCATTAAAGATCGTGGATTGTTATATAAACTCCAAGAAAGATGATATCGCAAGAATGTCCAGTGTTTTCTCTCCAATTATCCCTGAATTATCTAATTCACCTCCAATTTTCTCTGAAATCCTTTCAATTGAAGAACTAGACATCGGAGGATTCCCTCTTTCACTCAGTTATCTTGATAATACATCTTATTTGTTCGGATCAGAAAGAATTTTCCAATTTGCCATGCCGCCGATGATTATTAACAAGAGGACAATGTCATTTGGTGGTCTTATTTACTATGTGTTGATGGAAAGAAAGAGACAGATTGTTTCAATGACAGAAAACACGATTCAAAAGGAAAGTGACAACAAAGATCAGAATAACTCATCAGGAAAGAACAAATCAGGTGGAAAGAAGTAATTCTATATATATATATTTTTGTTTTGTTTGTATTTAAAATATAAAAATTTGCGAAATTTTTATGAAAATTTTAATTAATAAACCCACTATCGTGGCTTAGACCTCTACAACTTACACTCCCACGATTCCTGTGAAAAAAAAACTATTTAAAAAATATATTTGGAGTAAAATGTTTTGAATATATGTTTCTTCTGATATAAAATCTATTTATTTTATCAATTCCAGTCATTGTGTGAGATTGAACTATTTCAAATTTACTTAGATCTATGAGAGGAGTTAATCCATCATTATTCTTTTTCGTATTTTTCTGCTTCTACTAAGAAAAAATATATAATTACTCCAAGTTAATCTCTGGATGATTCCCTCATGACTTGAATTCAATACCTAATATCCAGAGGGTCTATATATGATACAGCTGAAATAAGTACTCCTACAAGATAATCTAATGATAGTTCTAATATGAGCAGTGTAGATCCATATTTGGGTGAAATTTTGAAATGATGGAATAGGAATTAGTCATTCATAAGCGATGTCTTTTTGTAATGGCTTCATGTGCGATATACAGGATCCAAAATAATCATGGCTAGATATTCGATCAAAATAAAAAAAATTGACAATTTTCCAAAAAAATGGATTCACAACTTGATTTACTTGAGCAACATATTGCCCAACTCGAGCAAATTGTCTACAAGGAAAAGGTTATCTATCCAGATCCACCAGTTCGTGAGGAAGACCACATTGACCCAGAATTAATCAAAATGATGAAAGATAAAAACCTCTGGAGCTATTCAGGTGTTCGTCGTGTTCCAGCAGACTACTACCAGAAGCCTCTTGATTATCGTATGCAATGCGTTGGCTGCCAAAAGATAGAACAACTCTGCAAGTGCGTTCTTTTTGAAGTTAAGGATGCTCCAGATAAAAATAAGAGATTTGTTTGCCTTTGCATTCAATACGTTGACAGCTTCAGCTCCAGTAAGTTGCAAGCCGTCATTTCAAAATTACTTGGCAAGAACGTTACAGATATCGGTTTAGCAGATGAAAATATTGCTACAGAACTCACTGGATCTAAGCATAACGCTATGACACCAGTTTTTATGCGACCATCTAAAAAATACGAAACATATGAAGTTCCTATCATCCTTTCTGAGAAAATTGCAGCCCTCGACCCACACTTCTTCTGGCTAGGTGGTGGAGAAATCGATACAAAGTTCGGAATTGAAACTCGCAAGTTTATTACAACTTTCAAGCCATATATCGCAGACATCTCTGCCTAAATTTACATCAGAGAGATATAAAATATAATACTACCAACATATTGTGCTATTATTTTTATAATTTTAAATTTTTTTGTTTATTAGGTTTTCTCTTTGTAAGTAATGACAACTCTTGAACTTTTGTTGAATATATTAACAAAGAAAATGATAAAAGAAGTAAATTAATAACAACAAATGAAAATAATAAGTTTCGCATATATTATCTATAGATACATGTAGTTATATTTATGTATAAGGCTTACATCCAAATTTTTTGGTTTCAATAATCAAGATGTCTATGGATCCTAAGTGGGTGTTCTTTTTATATTGGATATGAGTGGATTGTCCTTTTCTTGAGGGATCACTACCTTAATTATCAAATAGAAAACAGGATGATCAATAAGTCTATAAACTTTTGATCCTGATTCAAACATTTTCTTGGATCAATAATAAGAATGATTACATTAGAAATAATAATAAATATAGTTTAGTGACATAAATCTCGATATTGTCGTTCAAATGATATCAATGACTGTTTGATTTTGTCTGCATACTTTTTCATAGAATCTTCATCTTCTGCAACAAAAGCTTCCTCAATTAAATTAAGATTTTCTTTGCAAATTTCGATAGCTTTAGTATTCGATTGATTTTTGGCTTTTTTGAGGTATTTCTTAAAACTATCTTCTAATTCTCCAAGTTCTTCATCAAGATTTCTTTGGTTAACGCCAATCCTCGCTCTGCTTTCTTCAATCTGCTCTGGAGTCATATTTGTCAATTTGTTCTCAGCTTCAACACGTGGAAGAAATTTTGAGACATCGAGATCCATTGTCTGCACCTTTCCTCCTTCAACATCTAATAATTCGAATGTCATGTGCAAACAGTTTTGTTCATCAACTTGGAAAGTAACCCTGACACTTTCTTCTCTTGCCTTCATTTTCCCTGTTAATCCAGTGATAATATATCTGCCTATTTCTTTAGAATCTTCATAACTTTCTCCTTGTAAAACAGCCATCAATATTTCCTTTTGATTGTCAAACTGGGTAGTTGCAATATTTATGACTGGTTCTGTTGGAAGTTTTGATCCTTTCTTAATCATTGGATAATAAGAATATTCGTTCAATAAATTTTCATAACAAAGGTATCCATATGTAATTGATACAGATTCAATCATTTGTTTCGGGAAACTTTTAGGGATAATTCTTCTAGTCTCCGTGTTGTGTTTCACAAATTCGAAGAATGATTTTTGAGATGCGCCAATACAAACAGCGGTGAGTGGATCAACTGAGTTAAGAACTTTGATATTGTCGTTTGAAAATTCGTCTTCAAGACATTCTTTGACACGGTAGATAAGAGATGAACCACCAACTAAAAGTATGTATTCGACTTTGATATCATTGTGTTCTTTAAGAAGTTTACGAACAATATCAATAGTTCGTGAGATAAGAGGGTCAACTATGTTTTCGAATATCTTCCTAGTGACGGTGTATTCGATAAGATTTCCATTGATTTGAAGAGAGATTTTATCTTGTCTGCGTGTGCTAGAGATGTGTTGTATCATAAGACAAATTACGGAAAGTGAACTCAAACAAAAAGTGACACAATGCATTTGCCAACCAAATAACTTTACAAAGCAAAAACTTAAATTACTTGTCAAGCTTACTATTCTTATTTTAACAATTAAAAAATTAAATTTTATTTTTTATTTAAAAAAATCATCTTATATCATCTGATATATATATATAACAGCATTAATATTTCAATGATTCACAAATCAACTTTTTCATTATTTTAAATAATTATAGAATATATACCGACTTTTTGTACATAAATATTTTTAGATTCAATAATGATTTACGGTTTTTTTCAAAACTTATAATTTTCAAATGAGTGGTAGAATCTTCGATTTAATTGATTTAGAATGGTTAAATCAAGCTAATCAACAAATTCAAAGCGGTATTAACGTCGAAACCGTTCTCCAAAATGTCCCTTTAACAGATGGAAGAATTCTTCCCACAATATCACATAAAACTTTTAAAAACGCTCTTAATTTCAATCAAATTGAAATTCCAAAATTACGTACAGGTCCAAAACCAAAAGATCCACCACAATGTTAAACTATTCAGACAAAGTTTCCCGCTGTTTGCGAAGGAATTGTTGGCTATGATGTACTGATTCATGATCAGTGCATCATAGCCAACAATTCCTTATACAAAGTTCAAAAACTTGGGTGCAATCAGTTCTGATTGCACCCAAGTTTTTGAACTTTCTCGAGGGAATGAAAGGGTAAGAGGTATACATTATGAATATATACCTCTTACCCTTCCATTCCCTCTCTGACAGCGGGAAACTTTGTCTGAATGTTAAACTATTCAGACAAAGGTTTCCCGCTGTTTGCGAAGGAATTGTTGGCTATGATGTACTGATTCATGATCAGTGCATCATAGCCAACAATTCCTTATACAAAGTTCAAAAACTTGGGTGCAATCAGTTCTGATTGCACCCAAGTTTTGAACTTTCTCGAGGAATGAAAGGGTAAGAGGTATACATTATGAATATATACCTCTTACCCTTCCATTCCCTCTCTGACAGCGGGAAACTTTGTCTGAATGTTAAACTATTCAGACAAAGTTTCCCGCTGTTTGCGAAGGAATTGTTGGCTATGATGTACTGATTCATGATCAGTGCATCATAGCCAACAATTCCTTATACAAAGTTCAAAAACTTGGGTGCAATCAGAACTGATTGCACCCAAGTTTTTGAACTTTCTCGAGGGAATGAAAGGGTAAGAGGTATACATTATGAATATATACCTCTTACCCTTCCATTCCCTCTCTGACAGCGGGAAACTTTGTCTGAATGTTAAACTATTCAGACAAAGTTTCCCGCTGTTTGCGAAGGAATTGTTGGCTATGATGTACTGATTCATGATCAGTGCATCATAGCCAACAATTCCTTATACAAAGTTCAAAAACTTGGGTGCAATCAGTTCTGATTGCACCCAAGTTTTTGAACTTTCTCGAGGGAATGAAAGGGTAAGAGGTATACATTATGAATATATACCTCTTACCCTTCCATTCCCTCTCTGACAGCGGGAAACTTTGTCTGAATGTTAAACTATTCAGACAAAGTTTCCCGCTGTTTGCGAAGGAATTGTTGGCTATGATGTACTGATTCATGATCAGTGCATCATAGCCAACAATTCCTTATACAAAGTTCAAAAACTTGGGTGCAATCAGAACTGATTGCACCCAAGTTTTTGAACTTTCTCGAGGAATGAAAGGGTAAGAGGTATACATTATGAATATATACCTCTTACCCTTCCATTCCCTCTCTGACAGCGGGAAACTTTGTCTGAATGTTAAACTATTCAGACAAAGTTTCCCGCTGTTTGCGAAGGAATTGTTGGCTATGATGTACTGATTCATGATCAGTGCATCATAGCCAACAATTCCTTATACAAAGTTCAAAAACTTGGGTGCAATCAGAACTGATTGCACCCAAGTTTTTGAACTTTCTCGAGGGAATGAAAGGTAAGAGATATCCATTTCCTTTCACCTTCGTTCTCAATAATTAACTTATAAATTTTTTAAAGCAAAAAAAGTCTGATTTTTTTTGACAAGTAAATATATAGGGAATTTATCCGACCAAATAAGTGTCACTTTTTCGGTTCACCTCACTTTCCGTAACTCGTCTTACAACAGTTGTTTTACTAGTTCGGATTGGTCAACTAAGATTCCTTTGTAGCTGTCAAAGTCGAAATCTGGCTGTTTCTGTTTAAAGTATTCGATTGCAAGTTGAACAATGCCATTGTCGATATCACGACCACCTAAGTGAGTGTCGCCATCTTGGTCAATAACTTCAATTTTGTCACTAGAAATGTTGACAAGTGAAAGGTCGAATGTGCCGCCACCAAAGTCATAGACAAGTACAGTGCGAGATTTATCCCTTGAAATATTATTAGCGAAACAAAGGGCCGCAGCAGATGGTTCTTTGAAAAGGAAGATTTTCTCTGGATTAGGGAACTGTGCAATTTTAACTGCGTTTCGAACTTCATCAAGCTGCTTCTGTGTGAAGTGAGCGGGAACTGTAACAACAACATGGTCAAGTGAGATATTTTGTTTGACAAGTGTCTCGAATGTAGTTAAGAATCGAAGCAGAAACTTCACAAGGTTTTATTTTTGAAAGATTCTTTCCGTTATCGATAAGGATAAGTGGGTTGCCATCTTTATCTGATTCAACATCGAATGTCCAGTGTGGAATTTCTGTTTCCAAGTCTTTGTAACTTTTGACAAGCATGCGTTTGCTATCGTAAATGACATTCTTCTTGTACTCTGGAATGTTACGATTAGATTGAGCTTGATATCCGTATTGATTAGGAATGCCGTAAAAAACCATAGAAGGGATTGCATTTTTCCCATTAAATTCGACTACTTTTGCTTTTCCATTTTGAAACACTGCTACACTACAATACGTTGTACCAAGATCAATTCCAACAAATGTATCTTTGATTGCTGAAGAATCCATTAGAGGGTTCATTGTGAAATTTGAAATCCTCTGAAAATTGTAAATAATTGTTATCGCCTTTTTGCTGGATTTTTTGGTCGGATCGACATCACCTCACCTAAAAGTAGTCAAATTGCGTCTCTGAGGTGAGATGGTACATTCAAATTTTCACTTCCCTTCTAACATGAATTATCTATCGGTCATCAGGAGTTTATTTCAATTTTTTGACATGCAATAAACCGGAAATATCGGTGGTTTTAAAAAAACTCGTTCCCTTCTCAATTTTTGAGTGCTCTAAAATTATCCCGCCAAAACTTAAAAAAACTTATTAAACTTTACTCAATTTATTTTTGAGTACTCTAAAATTATCCCGCCAGAACTTAAAAAACTTATTAAACTTATTATCTATGAGAATCATTCAAATTGAAAATTGAAATAAACTACAAAAAGAGTGGGGGACAAACTCGCCCATTGTCACTTTTCATTAACCTTAAACTTGTAATTTTCATTATTTTTAATTAACCTTATTTCTTTCCCAATTCCTGATTTATTTTATTCGAGAAAGGGACAGACTAGCCCATTGTCACTTTTTAATTTAGCAAATGAACGCTTATGGAGTGGAGTTTTTGGGTAAATCTGATTTGCTTATAAATGAAATAAAATTAAAAGAAACCATATTGGCATTATATTATGCAAAAATAAATAATCTTACTTAGTACTTTTAAAGTTAATTTCAGAAAAAATTTGACACAATGGTATCCGGCACATACAAGTGGTGTACAACCAAAATATAAGTTGGTTTAAACATATATTGCTATATCTCATGATCTTACTTAGTACTTTTAAAGTTAATTTCAGAAAAAATTTGACACAATGGTATCCGGCACATACAAGTGGTGTACAACCAAAATTTCATATCCCTAGTTTTACATTTATGTTTAGTTTTATTTCACCTAATTTTCAAAGATCATAATTGAATTAGATGGCCAAGCTATTCAAAATACGACCAAGCTTATCAAAATAAGACCAATATATTCAAAATTCTTTATTCTTTCAAATCATTTCATTTTAATGCAGATCCAAGATCACGAACTCACATATATCGAGTTGCTTAAGTATCGAGTGCAACAAGAAATCCAAGCAGGTTGTAGTTATTCATATAAAACTAGGAAAGAAAGAAATCAAATCCAATTTAATTGTAAGTGGCCGAATTGTCCATGTCGCTTCCTTGTTGATACACTTCCCGATGACAAGTACCACATACGAAAATGTATTAACACCCACAATCATTCTGCCCTTTTCCAAACAAATCACAACAAATTACATCATATTTTTATAGATCTTATTTAACAAGATATTTTGAATCAAATCAAGACCGTGTTTACGCACAATTAAGGTGTTTCAAAGATCTTAATATCCCATTTGATAGTGGGATCATTCCGGAAATGTTTCAACAATCTACAAATGCTTTAAAAAAGTTTTCTAAACGCCTTCATGCAATCAATACCCGTTTCTCAGCGGATGATGTTACATCTCTTGCAATTTTTGTCGACATGGTTAAGAGTCATTCTCCAGATGATCTCATCGAGTTTATTCACGAGCCAGATCGTATGATTTTCTATTACGCCCCATTCGAAGCAAATGCTTTTTCACATCAAATACAAACTTATCACATTGATTCCACTTATAAGCTCTTGCGCTCTCGCATACCATTTTATGCCGTCACTGGCAAATTCGCGGAATCAATTGTTTTTCCGTTTTTGTATTTTTTCGTTTGGCCCGACACAAGTGAAAATATACAAGTTTGTCTCACAGCATATTTTGGCTCCATCAATCGCGAACCATCTTATTTTTCAATGGACTGCGCACCTCAAATCACAAATGCTGTTGAAACAGCCATCCCCTTATGCCAGATCATTTGGTGTGGCGTTCATGTGTTGCGCGCTGTCATGAGAAAGGCTGAAAAGTTTCAAGATCGTTCCAACTTCGAAACTTTCTATAACTTAATGAAGTTATTGGTCTTTGGTTCTGAAGAGGAAGAAATTGATCCTGATGAAGTTTACAACAATTTAGAAGAAATTTTAAATGAGGAACCTGCTGCCCGTGAATATTTTGACCGACAGTGGCGCCATCATCTTGACATGTGGATGCTTCGCTATAGAAATGAAGGAGATGGAACAAACAACATCTCGGAATCACATTTCAAGGTTTTGAAGCACCAGTACTTCCCAGAAAGGCGAAATCTTCGACTCGATGAACTTGTCATCGAGTTATATTCCAGTGTTGTTCCTTCATTCCTGATTAAGTTGCAAATTAAAGGTCTGGATAGTTAGTATACAAGTCTTGGGTATGGTGGCACTGCGTTCCACCTTACCCAATACTTGTGAATTTGACACTTTACAAAACCGTTAACGTATATTTTACAACATGAACGCAAAAACTAATTTAACCTTAAATATTTACAAAGCCGCCAACCACTTCACTAACGAACTCACTAATGTAAAAAATAAACGTTCTCACTATCGTTCTCACTAACGACTTCACTAATGTTCTCATAAATTTTCCTCAATATCTTCATCATCAGTGTTAACCCTATTGTAGTCATACTTGAAGCCATAAACTTTCTCTAACTTCTTAACGTACAATTTACATAACTTACCTTCGTCATCGTATGGTTTAATGATATAACTATTTCTATCTTTATACACAGTCAATGAAAAGTCAACTGGTCTCGGATGTATTTGAAAGAACATGTTATGCTCAGGAAGGAAGAATAAATGTTTAAATGTATGTTTGTTATACTGTGGAATTCGAATGAGTTGCTTTTGTTCTGTCATTTACATCCAAATAAAAAATTTCAGTAAACTTAAAAATAAAATAAAAAATTAATGATATCACCACCCGCACACGTATGAAAACATAGCACAAAAATAAATTTAGGGTAGAAGGTTAGATCTAACCCGATATCTAACCTCTTTTCTAACCTGTTGAATTCATTGCTTTATAACTCTCTTCCTTGGTTTCTTTTTAGTTGCTTTCTTCACGTCTGTCTCCAACTTGACTGTCTTTCTTCTTCGTCCGTAATGATACCAGTTACTTCCACCAGTCAATGGGTCAAATGGTCTTTCGTAAGGATTTCCATACATTCCATAGGGACCATACGGAAGAACTACTGGTGGAGAAGAAACATTTTCTTTAGTTCCATCGAATCTATTTAAATGCATTGTTTCACCTTTCATCTGGTCATTAAAGTCTTTTGCGTGTTTTGCAAACTCATCGTCCTTTCCTAAAGCATTTTCTGACTCAGTCGCAACCAAATTGGATGCTTTATTTATGAGCCCTATTTTATTTAATCTTAACTTCTTTGCAACCCAGCCTCCAATCTTCCCTTTATTTGCATCTAATGTCTTCGAAACCCTTCCTCCACTCATTTTATTTACTGCGTCATAAGCCCCAAGTGCTTTTGCTCCAAATGCTAATGCTTTTGTTCCCATTGCGCCTAAAGCTGTCCAAGCTACCATTTACACCATATTAAAATCATCTCTCTTCAATATTATCTCATAAAAGTTCTCGTTACTGGAGAAAGTCAATGAAACATAAACATTCTCATTCATAAACTTCTTTCTTATCTCATCTATACGCTTCAAAATGTCTGAACAATTGCTAACATCTTCTACAACAGTTATTTCATCATGAATGACCTTCAAGAACAAGCTCATTTAATATGCTATTAAAATCATCTCAATAATGAGTCCATCCTTTCCATCTTTAGGTAGCACAACATCTTTCATTGAAGAAGGTTCGACAAGTCTTATGTTAAACTTACTGACAAAGTTTGTTATACTATAATGCTTCGGCGGCGAATACATGTAGTTTGAAAGACATAATATAGATTCTTCAGCAAATTCACTTATACTGGATTTTATAACAATGTTCTCACGAGACCAAATACCACCAATTGACAATCTTGTAAGCAATCCTGCTGAACCTTCTACTGTAAACGTCGATGGTAACATTCCACGAAGGTCATCTATTGACATCTTTGAGTCACTGAATTTAAATATTTTCTTAAAGCAATCGTCTTTCATCTAACCATGCAATAGCTTTGAAGTTTTCATTCGAATATACATCTGCTTCATTAAATGTAAAACCTGACTTCTTTGCAGAGACGACTTTAAAATCTATTGATTTGTTTCAAAATTATATGCTATGGTAACTTCTGAAGGTAATGGATGTCCTTCCGCAGTCAGTTGTTCTCTCACTACCGTTTGAAGCTTTGTGTTAAAAACTTTCATGTCATCTCCTGTGTCTAAGGTTCACATACACAGCAACAGGAAAACTATCTTGCTTCTTTGTTTCATCATTATACTCAAAACATTAAAGTTCTTCAATAATATTGTTCTTCCTGCTGGAATACTTCTAACTTGTCTTATTTCAATAGCTTTCTCACCTCCTACATACTCTACCCAGTGTCTTGGATATTCATAAGTATACTGACTTTCTTGAATTTTGGTTGGTTTCATCATAACGTGTTCATAGTATATCTTTATACTCTTGTCAGTTAGACTCGGTGCTATGTTCTGAATATTTCTGACTTGCATTTTTAATGGAGATAAAATGAAGCATTTAATACATGACGTAGATGAAGACATGAATGAAAACAGACAAACTTAACTCTTCTCTCATTCTTCCTTTCAGTAAGGACTATGAGTTCTGTTCAAATGGTGTTATTTCTATTGTGGAAAGATGGGTTCAGGTAAGACATTTAACCTCATTCGTCATATACTCATAACAGAGCGTTTAGGAAACGACTCTTACTATGACCAAATCATTATATCAGCAACTTCAGACTCTATGGATTCAACAGCGAAAACATTTATGTCAAAAGTTCAAGCCTCTGTCGTTAAAGTTCCAGATGAACTCATTGAATTTCTTCAACGTTACATTCGACGTAAAGAAAATATTATGCCATCGTAGAGTTATACAGTCAGGAATGCAAAAGACTTCTGAGGAGATGGAAAGAATTATTGACA